AAAGAAAAAGAAAAAGAAAAAGAAAAAAGAAAGAATTACGCCCAGAAAGGAATTTTGTTCTCTCTTTAAAAGTTTTGCCCGATAATTTACGACGACGTCGATCAGACAGAGCGTAACTAAGAAATCGATATAACAGTGGAGTCGAGATTCGACGATCTCACGCGCCAGTGTCGCGAGGTACGAAAATACCAAACACGAACGAGAATGCAGTTGTACCCGTAATCGTTAACTCGCGACATCGTTACCACGTTTAAACGTTGGAATTTTCCTGGTACGAACTGTCTTCGAACAGGAAAAACGTACGATTCCGTCACTCGAGAATCGACGCCGCGAAAGACGATGTCTTTCGAGGTTTAGTCGTCGATCGATCCGCGATTATACTTGGAAATCATCGTCCTCAAACTTCATCGTCGTTGCGCGTAACCGAATCGTGCATTTCTTCCTGAGAGTCATCCTCGTATCAGCTGTCCGGAACCTGGAAAAAGAATCGAACGAATCAAAGTTCGATCGATACGGGACGATGAATATTCGAAAGAGAACGCATTATCCTTACTTTCCATTGCAACTGATTGCCAGTGTTGTAAAGCTCCTTCAGCGATTCGGCCAGCTTACCAGAACTCTCCAACTCTTTGTATTTGCGATACAACTCGAGAGCAGCTCTGGCATCTTCGGCAGAATCATGCGTTTCCGATTGAATTTTCTTACCCAAAAAATGCCACGTAAGAAAACGCAACGACACCATACGATGACGGGGCAAATGAAACAACAATACCGTATCTACTATCTGTTCCGGTGGGACGACCAGGTTTATCACTCTGCGCAAACACGGAGAAAAACACGTGAACGCGCGAACGTGTAAAATCGACGTAACAAAAAGTCGAGCAATTACCTAAAGTCATTCTTCAGTCCATGGCCGACAAACACGATTCCATTGTCAACGAGGAATCGTAGTTTTTGATACGTCGACTTCAAAGTGGTCAAATGTTTGCTACTAAAGTTTGCGTCCAAATCACCCGGCTGTATGCCACTGAATTTTGTCAAATAATCCACTACTTGCTCCTGAGTGCTTATGTAATCGTCGACGAAGGGAGTTCCCTCCAGAGGACCTTGGCTATTATTTGGGAAATTATATAAAATTACCACATCGGCTGTACGAATACGCGAGAAGAGAAGGAGAACCGAGGACTGCGAGAGGACAGAGACGGAACAAACGATCGAAAATTATATTACGCACCCACGTATGCAAGTTATGCGTGCAACCGACATATGACTCGGTTTTATGGTGGACATTTTTCCATCGCTTCGAAGCTCGGCCTCTTCCTGATTCAACGTTACAAATTCCGCATCAATTCCGACTAGTTCGCCTACAAAGATAATTTTATCAATCGTCGATGTTACTCGACGCGTCTTGGACGCGTTTCTTTCTTTCTTTTTTTTTTCGTTTACGTTGGATCGAAACCTTTTTTAGGCATTTCGTCGGACGTTAATGGAGTAAACGTGATACCCCTCGTCCCTCCACTGCGAGCGACGCACTTGTCTTCGCCAAAGACGTCGTAGGTGAGCGGACTGACAAACGGCACCGCCGGTTCGGGTGCAGGCACAGCCGTGTAATGCAGAACACAGGGAACCTTCCAGTCGAGATTGAACCACACCGCTTCTTGCGGTGTCACCGCGGATATGCTAAACGAAAGGAGAGTACGTCGATCGCAACACGATGTTTCATCGAGCATTCGACGGTAGTTTCTCAGTAGAGGAAACGCAGAGAGAAGAACGTTCACGTACCAAAAGTCGTTAAAAATGTACCACTGCGACACCGCACTGCCAGCCGATCGTTCGTGATAATTTGGTCCAGCTCGCAGCAACGCAACGATATTCCTCCTATCCTCGTTGGCCTTGTCGTCGATGTAACAAACAACAGCACTGAGACTGTATCGAACTTTATCCAAGTTGTCGTCGGTTCTGTCTGGTTCGTTGTCATCGTTGTCCAACGTTGCAACGTCGACACGATGATTTTCAGCCACGTTCTCTCGCTCCCCGGTAATCTCAGAATCATCACGCGCCTCGTTGTCAGCCCTCCGACAATCGTTCTCCATCAGGATCTCGTCGGTCGATTTGTCATCGTCGTTGGAATCGTTCTTTGGAACGGTCATCTTCTCGACGAGTAACTCGCAACTACTGTTCAAGGAGATCTGTATATCGTGCGGAATCCACGAGTGAGAATAGTACAAGTGACTGGGTGGTGTTGCGACCGGTGTCGAAGTTGCCGTCGGTGGAGTAACCGGCGACGTCGATACATTCTCTGGAGGGGGGGGGAGGGGGAAATCGAAGCAAGAAAGATTTTACAAAACAAGCAGCGTCGATCGCGACAAGGATGTAAAAAATCGCACGACGAATCGCAGTACCTGGGTCTCTGCCAACGTGTCTGAATCTACAGCCAATTCGAGTACAATTGTTACCATAGCGACACGGTTTCACGGTAACGGGAACAGGACTCGAAGACGGACTACTCTCCTTGCCAGTGGATACTTTTCGAACGACCACGTCCATCTGCGCTTGCCAGAACAGTTTATCCTGCAACAGGACAGTCGTAATTTTAGAACGTGAAAAATCCTCGCGACTCTTGCGTCGACGTTTACACGCAACGGAAGAGGGTGCGATCGCTTTCGTAGGTCAATCGTAAAGATAGCGATCGTTCGCAATCGAAGTCACGCGTCGGTGAAAGATATTTCACCGCAACACGCGCAACTGCTTTCAGCCGACGCTTTCCGACAATCGCTCGACATCGAAGCACGACGTACGAGTTACGTTGGAAACGCGAACAAAGCAAGACGGTGTCGTTCGTACCTGCTGCGTGTCCAAACCACAGTTGAGAGCCAATATTCGAGGTAGCTTGGTCAATCGCCGAGATTGAAGAGTGGGTGTAAATTTCTGACAATTGTCGCACCAGGCAGGTGTAATTTTCTCGGGTTTTAAGCTGCGGGCGAGAACACTGGTAAACGGAACCTCCTCTGCTACAAAGGACAAAGAAACTCATTGGTTTCGCGCAACGCGACGACTCGACGAGATCGCGTCGTTCAACGCGCGCACAGTTGAGAAATCATCATCAATCAGTGTCTTACAAGGATGCGTCAATTCCGGATAAACCAAGTTACACAGCAACATGATGGAATGTTTCGTAGCTTCTTGCCCGCACTTGAGACAGCGGTGTACGTGCATTTGTTCAGATCCAAACAGACGACTGATCTCCGTCTCTTCGTCTCGTACCTCGTTCTCTTCGACGGATCTCTTGCTGTTTTTATCTTGATTCGTAAGCGAAACGTTCGTCTAAGTTTTTTTCGTCGAATATCTCAATTTTCTTCGCGGCAGATTTAAGACGAAACACGCGTTTTCGTATTTTATCCGACGCTAAAATATCAAGCAGCGTCAATATCGATTCGTTTGTCGACGGTATCGACAGATTTACCGGCATTCCAACGAGCAAAAAAACAGAGGAACATTTTCATTCATCTTTATCGGCAATAGAACGCGTCGCTAGTTTCTTTCTTTCTCTCGCAAACGATACGGCTACGACTCGTCGTCGTCGTCGTTGCAACTACCACGACGTAAAAAGTCGAGCGAATTTACAGAGGGTGAAAGCAGCAGCCGATATACACGGAAGACGGAATCTTCGTACGCCAAGCCATGCATTCGCGGACGAGAGAGGAGCGAAAGAAAGAAGGCGC